TTTTTTTTTTTTTTTTTTTTTTTTTGTGAATAAGCAAAAATATAAGTATTTTTTTTCAACGTATAGTAATTTTAACCTCAAGTCTTATCTATTTTATGCTTAGATTATAATCTATTTTTGCTAAACAACCATTGTAATTCGTTTGATTTTCAGTATATGATAATAAATAAATACAATTTTTTAATTATATTTCTATTTAATAAAATATAAAAATCGATTAAGATGTAAAAATATATTATTATGAAATATATCGTGACGTTTTGATGAAGGAACTAAATAAAAAAATTAATATGAAATGTATCCACATACCAAATACTTGGTTGAAAAATCTTCATGGGTTGGTATCAAAAGCACGATTAAAATGAAGATAATATGCAGATTAATTTTTTTTTCAGTTGAATAAATAGGTTTTTAGGCAATTATGAAACCACTATTGACATTGATAACCATTATGAAAACCCAAGAGAAAAAGAAGACCGTGTGACGTTTATTGTTTGAGTTATCGCAATAGAGCTTCTATATCATGCAAATGAGACTGTTTTGCATATTCTATATCGATCTATGGATGAATTAATGCATTATTTTCAACCAGGTACTTGGTATATGGATGCATATTTCGTATCAAATTTTGATTTAGTTCCATCATCAAAAAGTGACTGATATATTTTATAACAATGTATTTTTATATTTTAATCGTTTTTATATTTTATTAAACAGAAGTATAATTTATTTATTATCATATGCTAAAATCAAACTAATTGTTATGATTGTTTTAAAACTATCTCCAACCCACCTCCATTTTCTTTCCCCCAAAAGTGGAGTAAAAAATAGGGTAAATAATATTTTATTTCCAACACTACTCCATTTTTATCCCATTTTAACCCCCAAAAAATATATTCCTAGTATATTTCATGATTTCAACTTTCATAGATTGTCAAACATTCCTCTCTACTAATTTAGTTATACATGCATTTATAAAAATATTACACATACACATTTTTAAATAAATATTAAATAAATAAATAATAATATTGTCACTTGTTGGTTTTTATTAGAATATTATTGTAATATATAGGTTAACTATAAGTTTAATAACATATGTTATCGTGTTTGTAATATATATTTTAATTATAATTTTTTGTAAAATACGTTATCGGTTTTTAAAATTTCAATATGTATTTAAATTTTTATATGAATTTGATGATAAAAAACAAACTTTATATTTATAATTAATTAATATAATTTAATATATAACAAAATATTATAAGTATTAAATATTATATTTAAATTATAATTAGTAGGTAAAAATGAACTAGAAATGTAAAAATATATAACAGATGAACTAAAACCGACAATTCAAAGTTCACCACCATTTTGGAAGAAATGAATAGTATAACACCATATTTGGTGTAATATTATTCATATCCCCAAAATGAGGTAATAAATGAGAGAGGGTTGGAGAAGAATGGGGAAGAAATGGGGGAAAAAATAGAGAATGAGATTGGGTTAGAGATGCACTAATAAATATAAATTATATTTAGAGGGTATTTCAAAAAAAAAATAATAAGTTAGAATTTCTTATTTTTCAAAACTCATTATAACTTTTTTGGGTTGTAAAAGTCAGATATCTCTTAAAATATGTATAAGTTAAGACAAACATTTTAAAAAAAATAACTTATTGACTTTCCTTACCATAAAAACTAATCCAAATATTTTTTAAAAACTCATTTTTTCACCACCACAAGTTATAAGTCATTTTGCCTAAAAATAATTTTAAGATTCAAAATAAAATTTTAAACACCTTATGAATCTTAAAATATATAAGAGTTGAAGTTAAAAATTATTATGCATTGAAAAAAATTATAATTTGGCTTATTGACAAAAAAGTCACCATTGATATCTTGTTTAAATTTTAACAATCGAAACCTGCTATTGTTTGTGGTAACCTGTAAATTGAGCCAAATTGTACGTAATAGTCAGTTCCAATAGTTAATTTGGAAAAAAAATCAAGGGTGAATTTTTTGTCAATAGAACCAAAGTGTAAGGACTTTTTATTTATTTATTTATTTGTAGATTTTTCTATATGATAATGTAATATAATATATTTTTGAATAAATTACATGAATAGTCCATGTGGTTTGGCGTAATTTATATGTTTTCTCATTCATTATTTTTTTTTTAATTTGGACCATCCTATGCTATCATTTTGTTGCGGGTTTGGTGTTCATAGATATAAAAAAACTCTTTTACCCTTACATATTTCTCTTTTAATTAATTTATTTCTTATATAACTATTATGTTATCATTAAAATGTTATGAGTCCCACCCTAACCCCAGCTCCTAATCCCTTCCTTTTACCCTAATCTTCTCCATTCAAGAAAACCCATCATCCTCGACATAACCTTTTTTGACAAATGGTATATTTCATAACAATATTTTTACACCTTCAACATTTTCAATTTTAGGTCTCAAAGTAAGAGATCACTTGAATTTTCATTATCTCTTCCACATCTATTTGATTTTTTTTAAAGATTCCATTTCATACTTCTTTATTCTATAAAATTTTAGAAAACTTATCAGTTAAGATCAATAAAATCAAAACCGAATTGATTATAAAAACTGTCTAAACAGCAGAACGAATATGTTATACAGAGACAATTATATAAATTGTTTCAATTGTACTAATAAAAATTATATAGTAAGAATAACGAAAGTTGAAATTATAAATATTTCATAAACCTACATTGCTAAAGATTGTTAACAGTTAAGAGGGCGTGCAAAGTTATCCATACATCAGAATGGATATGTACACCTGGAATTTAAAACCTAATCTGAATTCAAACCTGATGTAATAATGAAACTTAAAAGCGAAACTCAAAACCAAATCCCAGATGAAATTAATGGAAGACCTAGGGAAGGAAGGGAAAAGAAAGGTGGGGGATGATGTCCGCAAACATTTCGCCCCTCTTCACTTACGATTTCGGCGATGCTGATGGCCGACAGTGATGCAGGTGGTGATGGTGGAAGAGGAGATGATGACGATGTTGATTTTCGGCGATGTGCCACTTCTTCGGTAAAGGCAGCGTTAAGATATGTGGCGTTTTCAGACGATGACATTTACCGATGAGATAGAGGAGAAAAAGAGTAAAGATGACGATGGTAGGTACGAGAGTGATGAAGAGGTTTTATAGGAAGAGTTAGATGTTGTTTGTTTTTCGAAGCGAAAAAGCTTGAAGTCTGCAAACCACATCTGCAACCCTCTGTAGCAAAAGAGGGGGACCAAACGGCCACAACTTGTGATAAAAAGTCTATTTCTTAACCTCTGCAGACTGCTGCAATAAGTTAAAATGAGGTGTGAAGATGTTTGAAGCAACGGGTCAAGTGTTAGTTATGTCACGCAACAATTTTTAAGTAAGAAGTCTTTTGAAATACAAACAACTGCGAATGGTCAAGTGATGCGCATGTGTTGCGCGACGCAATAATAAGTGGTTAGAAGTGGTTTTTTAGAAAAAAAAAATATATCACCTTAATGTGGTGGGTGGACCCACACATTTAAATCTCCCTTTTTAAATAACTTTATTTAATAAACTCTAAAATTTTTTATTATTAAGGTATTTAGATATTTTAAGTCATTCAGGAACCAAACTCAAAAAAAAAATCATAGAGATAATCTGAGTTAAAAGAAAATAAGATATGAACCAAACCAAATATGCAATTTACTATAATCACAGGGATTATACGTGTACATTACTTTATATTTTAATAAACTAGGTGTAAGACCCATGTATTACATTAGTTCATTTAAAAAAAAATATGAAATTCTATATATTTGAGAAGTTTGAATTTATAAAAAAAAAATTGAAAAATATTGAATTGTTAAAAATAAGTTGTTTGTTTTTTTTAATTAAACAGATAATGTAGATAAATAAACCAATGAAACTGATGAAATTTTAATTTAGAAAATTTGAAATTAAAAGAAAGTCGTTAATATGCATTTATTATTACATTTAAATGTTATCTGAAAATTAATAAAATGAAAAAAACCATAAAATATTATATAGAAAAAAATTAATTGAAAACAAACACAAAATAACATTGATAAAATTAATAAGAAGGTAACATATCACATAAAAATTATCACATACATTTCTATTATTGTAATCCATTTTCTATTATTGGAATCCTATTGTGGATTCAAATGATATATACATTGAATGAAAATTAAAACTATTAATAAAAAATAGAAAAAGTGCCCGTTTTTGTCATTTTTCTCTTCAATCCTGCTGAAAATGGGTTTCCGAGACCCCTATAAATAGCTCCAAACCACCTTCTGATTTTCAGCAGAATCTTCTCCAAGGTTGTAAAACGACAAGAATGGAGTTGGGTTTCATCCTACATTTTCTGTAAATTCTGCTACCATTGCTTCTTTCGCTTGAGTTTGAGGCCACCGTTTGTGTTTCTGAATTATTCGAGTTTCTCACAAGATCATTGGTCATGGATTGATGGGTATGTTTCTTAATTTGATTAATTCTTGATTCCGATGATTCAATTGCTGTTTTCCGTTCTGAACTAAATTGGGATTCCTAGGTTTTCATTTGATTATGTGAAGCTGGTCTAGTTCAATTCATGTCCGTCTATGTGTTTGTTTAATTGACTGAATGAACATTTCCTTTTATGCTTTCTTCTTCTGGGATTAATTTTCCAATCGAGTATCAGGATCCTTTCGGATTTAACTGAGAAAGAGTTAGCTCAAGGTAATGGTGCTCCTTTCGTTAATTATTTTCATAATTTTCTGAAACCAATGTGAATATACATACAATTTAGCATTGATTATAAGGTGACGCGATGACTTTTTCATTAATTTGCTGCTTTTATTTGATTATGTCAAAAAAAAAAATGTTTTAATTCATTAATTTGTTCAAATTTCCTCTTGTTGGCCCGAATTATACACATAATTCCTAACAAAATTGTTCGAATATGAAGATTTTGAAGACAAAGTCATGGAGTCAATGAAGGCTAAACTCGTCATGTCCAAGGAGGAAGTCGAAGCATTCTGGAATGATCCTGACTGCGATACTACAGGTGTTAAAGGTCTCGTAAAACTTCTTTCAGAAACCTTAAACCTATGCATTCAAAACGCTATCACAAAGATCACTAAAAAAGGGTTCACTGAGGAAGCTGCTGAACATGCGATTTTAAGATGTGGTCCTTTCACTCCTGTCCATTACTCCGAAAACAACCTGGAGTCAAACATTGTTGAATGTGCTTTACTTTCTCTTAAAAGTAACAACAAGAAATACAATGATTCAGCGGATTATACGTTTCAAGAATTAAACGAATTGGTGGATTTCATGGTTTTGGAGATGGTGACTACGCTTAGAGATATGAAACCGAATCTATCTGTTAGCGAAGCAATTTGGTGTCTTTTGATGTGCGATTTGAATGTGTCAAAAGCAAGTGTTATGGAAAGAGACCTTCAACAATTGGGTACATCTGCAGAACCCGAAACTGAATCCGGATCTAAATCTGAACCTAAAAATCAAGAAACCATAGCCTCAAATGTTAAAAGACCACCCCCTCAAAGCTCAAAATCTGGGAAAAAAACGGTTGACATATGCACTTGTAGAAACTGGTGCGCAGTGGCTAAACACAAACGAGACGCTACCCTTCGAGCGAAAGCTGCTTTACTTCTAGAAAAGCCATGTAAGGGACGACGTACTAGAAAAGGCTTGAAGAAGCAAGTTTTTAGCTTGAAAGAGTTGTCATTGGTCAACAAACAATCACCATCTTCTTCTTCTTCTTCTTCTTCTTCTTCTTCTTCTGAACAAAACAAGAACACATCTTTGCCATTAAAGGAAACCGAAGAGAAACCAAAAGGAACACCGAAGGCTGAACAACCGAAAACCCTAGATTACTATTTGAAAAACATTCCCTGTGATGAAAAGGGTGAGTATGTGCCTCGAGATGACAAGGATAGACTGAGATTAGAGGCAGTTGCTCAAATTGAGGTGTTGCAGAAAGAGCTTCAACGCTGGGATGATTGGGCGACCTCGAAGGTTATGGAGGTCACCAATCGGCTGAACCAGCATCGATCGGAGGTCAATATGTTGAAGGCGGAAATGAAAGATAATGAAGCCATGGATGAGAACACAGCTAAGAGACGATTGGAAACGACGCTTGCTCTGAATACTAGAAATAGCGAGCTTAATGTGGCTAATTCCACCATTGTTAAGCTCAAGGCTGAACAATCTGTTATCAAAGAGGAGATGGAAAGGGAAAGAAATCGAAGCATCTTTGAAGCTAAAAGATTGGAAGAAGCGCTGATCAAAGAGGAAGAAGCTCGGAAAAAGTCTCAGTCGAGTTTTGGGTCTGAAAAGACTTCATTGGAAGAAGAGCTTAAAGTGTTAAAACGTCAGGTGGGTCAAAAGCAACGGGAACTAGAAAAGGCCAAATGTCTCCTCTCAGAAACCCTGGTATATTTATCTATTTTTGTACTTTTTTTTTTTATTAATATTTTACCATAGAATACAATATTTATAAATGCGATTGATAAATTTCAGATTAGGGTCGCGAATGAGGAAAGGGAGACTGCTAAAGTTGCTAACAAGGCTGAATGTATGAAGAACGAAAGAGAACGTATTGAAGCTTTGGCTATGGCAGAATATGAGAAAATGAAAGGGAAGGCGGAGGAAGAGTTTATAAAGAATGAGACTGAAAACAAGAGGATTGAGTATGAGATATCCTTGTTGAAGTTAGAGGCTGAAAGTAAGAGGATTGCTGAAATGTATATGAGTATGAATATGAACATGGACTCTTCAAAAGGGTTAGAGGGTTTCAGAAATATGAGTAAGAAGAAAAAGAAGAAGAAGAAGAAGAAGATGATGATGAAGAAGAAGGATAGGGAATGTGTGATGTGTTTGAATGAAGAGATGACTGTTGTTTTTGTTCCTTGTGGTCATGAAGTTCTTTGTAAAGCATGCAATGTGAAGCATGAGGAGAGGATGAATGAGTGTCCCTCTTGCAGGACTCCGATCCAGAAGAGGATTAATGCTCGGTTTGCTAAATCTTGATGAGGCATGGAGCATTTATAAGGGTATAGATATTGAGTTTTCCTTTTTTTTTTTTTTTTTTTTTTTTTTTTTTTTTTTTTTTTTTTGATGTTGATGTTAGATTTGCAAAGAATAGTGGAATATAGAGTTTGATGAGGTTGAAGAGATACATAGAAGATGGGTTAGGGTATAGAGAAGGTTAATTAATGGTCCCTTTGAGATGGAGAGGTAAAAGATATGATGTACATTTAAAAATTTGGTCTTTTGATGATCTTGCTAATCAACCCATTATGACACCTCATCGGTTTGGTCAAGTTCATTGGTATGCTCGAAAATTGGTATTTTTATTTTTTTATTTTTTTGTTTATTTAGGGTCAAATTTTATTTAATTTTTGACAAAACTACAAAATGGTCCTTATAGTTTGTATTTTTTTTTCTTTGGGAAATCAAATCAAACCCTTCAAAAATTAGAAAAAATAGTCATTTTCAGCAAGTTTCTTTATGAAATTTGTCCCTCCCAAAATTAACAAAGGACTTATATATATATATATATATATATATATATATATATATATATATATATATATATATATATATATATATATATATATATATATACTAGTTTATAACCGTGAGAACCACGGTTTTAAAATTAATTAAACTTTCATATAAAAAGTCAAAATTATTAATTAATTATTTTAAATAAATTATTATTTAAGAGAAATTTTTTTAGTTATATAAAATTATAATCATTGATTTAAATAAATATATGAAATTATATCATCTTATAATATGTATTAAATTTATTTTATTTTTCAATCTAATGTTATTAATTGAATATAATTAGAGTGGGAAAATTTAAAATTTGAAATTTAAATAAAAGAATCAATTATTAGTTTAATGTAATTAGAGTGAAAAAATTTAAACTTTGAAATTTAAAATGAATAATTAATAGTTTGACATGTGGCATGATAATAGTTATATAACATTAATAAGGTGTTCTAATTGCATGACACTTGTCAATAGGAGATTAGACCTATTCTTTTATTAGAATAGGGATATATATATATATATATATATATATATATATATATATATATATATATATAATTATTTTTCAATTGTTTTCCATTTAAAGGGTTTTTTTTTGTTAAATAAATATAAAATGTCCCACAACCCAAACCCCCTTTCACATATTGTAGCCCTTGTTTCCCACCTCCTCCTCTCCCCCCTCCCCCTCCCCCCCCCCACACACACACACTCTTCTCCAGTCATATCAACTCACATCACCACCTCCATCTGAAAAGGATGACCTCACACACACTCTTCTCCAATCATATCAACTAACACCACCACCTCCATCTGAAAAGGATGACCACCACTGCTACCTTCACTAGTCTCCCTCAAATTTCCCCTCCCCATCTACGGTTCACGGTTAGAAAATCACCTCCATGTATTAGCCTTATGCTTTGTCAGTTAGAGACAATTAGAAGTTATTGATATATTATTTTATTACTATGGTTATTTTAGCATTAGTTAAATTAACTTGAGTTGTTTATAGTTAGTTAGGCTCATAATAGATAATGATGCACAACTTAAGATATTATATGTCTTTGTTTCTAGTTCAATGAAGATAACAAAGCTTCACATTTCATTCATTCTTCATCTCTTTTACTTGATAATGTGGTATCATTCTCTATTCCAGTTTCATCGTGATTCATGATTGATTGATCCTCTATTTTCAATTTGTTGAACTCAATTTTCTTTTGTTTTTTGTTTCAAATTGATTCATTCTTCTTGAGAACATGTCAAACAAATTTGTTACTCCTGTAAATAATGGATCGTCTGATGATCCATACTACTGGCATCACCCAGACAATCTGCACGCTTCTTGTTAATCAAGTCCACGCCAGGGAGAATTATTCTTCATGGTCCCGTTCTATGACTATAGCTCTTGCCGCCAATAACAAACTTGATTTTGTTACTCGAGATATTCCACAACCTCCTGCTGCTACTGATGCAAATCGACTTAAATCATAGAATCGGGATAATAGTATCGTTATTTCTTGGATTTTGAATTCACTTTAAAGGAAATTTCTACATCTCTCGTATATTTGAAAACTGCATCTACTATTTGGAAAGAGCTCAAAGAAAGATTTCAATAGAGTTATGGACCTTGGATACTTTAGATTAAATGATAACTGATGAATATCACAATAGAGAAGACGCGGTTCACATGCTGGGGAGTTTTACCAAACTCCCAACTCACACAACCCTCAAACCTAACAACCACTTGGGTTGTCTTCCTTCCTGACAACGATGCTAAACTTATCCCATTTTTAAACTGCTCCTATATTCTTAATCCCATGATAATTCTCCCCCACTTAGATTCGACTAAGTCTTCACAATACATTAAAGTTGAAGAATTCCCAATCCTTCTTACTTTGCATTGATCGATATGATGACAACCAAACCTTTCCAACTACTATCATTAGTAGCCAACCCCGAATGATCACACACTTCTAATAACTAGATGAACACTTCCCGAATCCCATGGAAACCAACATTCCCTAAAGCCCAAATGATCCCACACCCAAATCTTGAAGACCAAAAATAGATGCTCCAACTAATGTCTCAACAATGAGCTACTTCCCTTGGTGCTTTCCCCCGCCAGTCAATAACGGTTACTAAAACCAATGAGTCTTGACAATGTTGAATAACCATTATGTAGGACCCTGTCCGCAGACCTTCCACATAATACCCTTCTTCCCAAAGTGTTCTAACAATCCTCCCGCTCTCGGATCTAGAATTCATATCATTCAGGGCCTCACACCCTGTCTCACTCACCAGCTCAATCATCCACAGTTGACCTGCAAACAACCTTTGCCCTAAACCGGGCTACAACTACTCCCAAGACATAGTCTACAATCCCAAAAGTGCAATACATCGCACAATCAATCCTTACCGTCCGATACAAGATATCCAAGGTGAACCAGACCTCACAACACACTTATGCCATATCGACCCACCTGCGCTCACCGGCACTGAAATAATGTTGTCTATCCCTGCAACCAACTAACCTCGAGCTGGAATACAACTTGGTCCTGGGGTCACAAGCCTGCTCACTCCTTTGAGCTCGAAAAAAAATGAAAGGGCACAGTTCTTGCCCTATAAAATGACAATCCAATCCATCAATTAACCATTCCACTTCAAGCTGCAAAAACCTAGCTGAACATAGTCATCACTCCTTTTCGGAGTCCCCTCAACTCTCATTCCGGCCTCGAGCAAACCCCGGAGCCTAAAATCTAGAAACTCATGTACTAGCCTCTCCTGCTCAACCCACAAAAATATAACGAGTACAACTCATCTTCCTAATCCCAGATAACTGCAACCCTCTGCTCATCAGAATACGTCCCAGTAACAAGTTCCCACCAATCCTTCGCCCCGAACCTCAACAGGTTCAGAGCGTGCCCGACCTTCTGGTTAGTAGGACATGAACATGTGAAGCAACATCCCTCCATATCATATGTCCACCTCATGGCTATAACCAGGTCCTAAACCCTGCCAAAGTTCGGGGCTTCGCGTTATCGAAGTCCCGATACTGGAAAGCCCGACTGGCTCCTCCCCTGCCAACGTTAAAACTGTTGAAGCTATTGCGACATCCGTCTCAACAATGGCTTCATAGCACTCATCGAAATACTCAACCATGTCGGTCTTAATAGACCCACACATCTCCGGTAACTGTCCCCAGACAAACTCGATCACCTCCTCCCGGATGATCTCACTGACACGGTCCTCTGACAATGTTGTCCTATCTTGGCTGGCAGCTCCCGATCCTAACCTGGAGCCGACCTCTAGACATCTCATAACCACTATTCTGGTAAGATACTAGTAAGATCTATGATAATCCATAATATGACAGGGGACCAACTCCCTACCCAACCCTAGGGGTTGTGACTTCCTTGATACGCTTATAGGTCCTATGCTTTCAGCAGTACGGGCCCATACTACCTTCCACACCTACCCATATTTGTCTCGAGTATCACCACAACACCCTAACAATATACATAAACATGGCGAGCGCTCGATCCTCACTCCTAGAGGAATGCTAGATATCTTGTAACCGGCCTCCTGGCCTCACACAGCCCACCCATCCATGAAATTTCCACCAACCCTGCAGCACTAATGTATGCTAGCCATACATAACACTGGACCCTATAGAATTTCGAATATCCAATCCTACCCTAAGCCCTAATCAATAAGAACAGAACATAAGGCTAAATCAAACATTCTCAGGCTATAAGATCTTAATTATATACAGTTGTGATGCATACACAAGCAACTACAGTAATGATGTTAATCTCATATAAGGAAAACCCTAGGCTAGCAAGCATCATGTAATCAGACAATTCTATCATGCAATTCCCGAAGATCCCTAGCCTTGTACTAGCATGTTGTTCTAACATATCACAATATCAATTAACTGTATGGTATTTTGGGTTCTACTTACTAGCTCCGGCTGATCATACACTTCATATCCTCTTTTATTTATTTTGAAAACCATTTAAATCATTTTGAAAATCTTTCTTTGATTTAAGACTGGATTCACACGAGTGTTCCTCCAATTCACTCAAACCAAGGCTCTGATACAAACTTGTAACACCTCCAAAAATTCAAGCCAATTTAAAACTTTTTAAAACATTTTAAACCATTAAGTTATTACAGTTTGTTTTCAAAATAGTTTAATCATCAGAGTATCCCCAAAATCCAATCATAAAATCATGAGATATGAGGAGCTGTACGATCACGCCCTTGCCTTCCCGCGATCATCCGAAGTACCTGAAACATAATCAACAACTGTAAGCCCAAAGCTTAGTGAGTTTCCCCAGAATACCAACGTCATACAAATATAACCATATCATATAACAAATACAGAACAAAATGCATAATGAGCCTTCAGCCTGACTGAACCTCCTCGCATGCCTTTACTCTATCTGGACCTCTCTTCGAGCCTTCGGTAT